CCGATATCAGCAACAATCCCAAACCAGAAATCGTTAAAAGGACAAACGCCGGCTTAGACTTCTTCAAGCGATGAGCGAGCATGTTTTCGTTTAAAACTGCGAATGGCTTATGCATAGAAAGCAATTTATCTTCAAATCAAATCGGTTGCTTAGCATAAAAACAATCGAATGAGACATTTAACATATTATTAAAAACGACGCGTACTTGGAAAGCAATTAATGGCGGGAAATTGTAGAAAAGCAGATGTCTTGTCTATTGTCATCCTCTCTAAACCGACGTATAATTATATGTAAATTTTTAAAACTCTCCTCCGGACACAAATGCTCGTCAGATAATGTGCTTTCTAAGTTTTTGAGTGAAGGATGGGTTATTTTTAATTATTAATAAAGACGTATTTTATACGATGGTTAAACATATAAAATTGTCTAAATTTATTTTCGGCCTATATTCTAGCATGATACGATGCCGAATTTCCTGCTAAATATTTTTTAAAACACTCCCTTCAAAATGCTTATGAATATGTATCTTAATGAAAGAGTTTTTGTGCAGTAAGGTCTATTTTTAACAGGTTTTCTAAATTATTAATAGGCAATGCAATATATATATGTTCAAAACAAGAATATAATAGTTTAAAAATTAATGCTTTGTCTTTGCTTTATTTTCTGTGCAGTTATAATGTAAAATAGTTTCGAATTTAAGTGTATAATGCTGTGAATTTTTCTGTAATTTGATATGAACAAAAGCAACATACGGATTGTTGCTGCAGAGCCCGAACGCTGACCGGCATCGCAGGACCGTAGGTTCGATTCCTGCTAGGAACCTAAAGTTGCATTTTTCGCTTCTGTTCCTGTTAGATCTAATACTGTAAATGTAGCTATATAAATTTCCACTCGATAAATTCCGTCTACAATAGTCAATACCCTTCAACTGATACGTATTCTATTACGGTTATCCGAAATCCTTTAAAAGTAAATATTTTCAGCTTATATATGCGAACTGAATTTCGTTGCTAGGGGCAATGACGTCAGCATGTAGTTTCAGACCCCCAGCGCGGTCTGCCGTTGAATAGCAGCTTGTGCCAAAAATAGATTGGATGCCGCAATCCATTGTTCGCTGGCGCAGAAATGCTATGGAAAACTGCGATTATACCAAGCGATGAAATAGATGTATATTTCTTTTAAATATTTCGGAACTGAGTCTAGTTTTTTTGATATCAATGCAATCTATAGTAATCATGATTTTTTCTGTGTTGGTGTAATGTACTCAGGTGAATATGATGCCTGTGATGTTACTCTGAGTGTATATCCACACCGAGCAAGCTTGAAAAATATGCTTGGCCACGATGGGAATCGAACCTAAGACCTTTGGAATACTAGCCCAATGCTCTGCCAACTGAGCTACGCGGTCAGGTCGGTTCGAGTATGTGATATTTCGGAACTGAGTCCAGTTCCTTCGATATCAATGTAATCTAATAATCATGATTTTTTCTGTGTCGGCGTAATGTAGTCAGGTGAATATGATGCCTGTGATGTTACTCTGAGTGTATATCCACACCAAGCAAGCTTGAAAAATATGCCTGGCCACGGTGGGAATTGAACCTATGATTTATACGATTGACATTGACCACTTACTAGTTTTTAATCACTACCATAATTTCTCACCTATAATGCTTTAGGATCTGTTTATAAAGAGAGGACAAGTGTATAACTTTAGGAAAACAAATTGTTTAAAATTCCCCAAATGTAGAACCAGATTACATGAAGAAATCTGTTGCATATCAACGAGCAATCCGGTGGAACTCTTTAGAAAACAGTGCCAGATCTTTAGATAGTCATATTGCCATAAAAAACAATTTTATTAAGAATTTGTACTTTATATGACCACTTAGTTAGTATATTCACGACGTCTTCGAGATTAGCTGTGTTATAATATCGTGATTAAATAAAATTATTATTATTATTATTATTATTATTATTATTATTATCAAACGCGATTGACATCAAGTATTACACTTACCTAATTACTTATTTAGCCTAGACTATTTTATCTTTACAACAATTGAGATATTACTTTCTTAACTGTGTTTATCCTAACCCACACTGTCAACTTTCCCTGTGGGAGGAAACCAGAGCACGCGGAGAAAACCCACGACTTTCGGCAGAGCGTTGGCAGAGGGTCTAGATGGAGGGGTGGGGGTGGGGGGAGGTCTGAAAATCAGTAAACGGTAAAAATTTTAGTATTTTAACGGTAACATTTTGGTATTTTAACGGTAAATCTTCGAAAAGTGTTCTGAAACGATAAACAGTATTTTTTCCTCACGCTTCACGGTCAAATGTTTAGTGTTTTCACGACTGACGATAACCGAAATTGAGTGAATCACGACTCACGATATACCCCATCAACACCCTCTTGACCCTGCCTCGTCCCCAGGCGCTAATAAAAAAATTTCATGCGAGTCATTATATGAAGGTTTACATGAAGTAGTGCACCACCACATAGGCGCGCAAAAGGGAAGCGGGATATGAGCGTTCTGGTTAGCGATGCCTCAAGTCCATAACTCCCTGCGCTTGTTCGTCGCGATGCACTACTTCATGTAAATCTTCATATAGTGACTCGCATGAAATTGTTTTATGCTAGCCTGGGGACGAGGCAGCTCTTGACCGACTCTTTTCACATGAGTCCGTAGCGAGAATCCAACTCACGAACTCCGAGGTGGAAGGCGCTTGCATGCTCTGACGACTGTGCAAACGAATCCCTGAAATAAATTGCAATATCGAAAACAAGTTGTTCGATTGAGTTGACAGTTTCCGGAACCCGTTGATCCCAATATCGCAACAAAAATAGAATGGCTGTTATTGTATCTGTCCTAAAACTGGGCAACCAAGTTGAAGAACTGGACACCATTTGCAATCCATTTTAAAATATATTTTGCCTGTTACACACACTTGAAACAAGCTTTGGAGTTTAATTTCTTTGATTATTTCATTATGGGTTTTATGCTAATGTTGTTAGAAGAGTCCTTATAATGAAACCTGATTTCCTTTGCAAAGTTGCGTGGCGACTTTGTAGCGGTCCTTCTTTGAAGAGACGGGATGTCTTCGATCGGAAATATTTAAGAAATGAAGAAACTTATGCGAAGATTTTGAAACAAGCTCTTTTAAACTATGCTCTAAACTTTAAACGGTCCTCCATATCTACATTGTATACTAAAACTGTCTGTACCAGTGTGGGTAGTACCAATGTGAAAATGCTGTGCTGGGTGGTTATATTACTACCCTAAAAAACAAGCAGCGGTCTCAAATCGTATCTCTCGGTTTAAATTTGGGCGTAGAAGTATTCGGTATTATTCGGTATATGGCAATAAGAATTTTAAGAGAGAAAAAATATGGCTTCGATTTTTTCCAGTATATACTCTTTTTTCGTTTGCAATTACAATCGCTTGTTTAATTTATTTACAGCTATTATTCCTTTGAATTAGTCGGACAACTAAATTTACATAAAGTTTTCGGCTTGAGAAACTTGTGATCCCGTCCAATGTGTTGTATAATAATAATATAAACGGTTAACGTACTCGAATACTTGAATCCAAAAACCCTAGCAAATTTGAAGGCTTGTGAACGAGGTCCGACTATTTAAAAGGACATGCTGTTGGACTATTTTAACTTTGAAATAGTATTTCGATATGACCTTTCATACACGCTGTTATAAAAAATTAACTATATATAGTCCAAGAATTATACTAGTTTTTTTTGTCGTTGTTGCCAATTTTGAATCTTAATTTACACGGATTTCCACGCCGCACTTATCCTGATATTGGCTTAACTATCAAACATTCAGATTAAAATATTGCTGTATGTATAATGTGAAACAGAGAGTTAATTATATCAAGCTCTGGCTGTTCCCGATACAAAATCTTGCCAATGCGAATGGCCCGATTTATGACCATGTTTGTCTTACTCATAAACTGAGCGCGGCAGGGGAGACTAAAAATAGACTGCCTCCTCCGGCGTGGATCACAAAGAATTCTATTGAATCCAACAAGTTGAGAAATGTTTGTCAAATGACGCGAAATGCTGTGGAATGCGTCTCAGTGGTTAGACAAATTGTAATATATCGCTCGTGTCGTTTATATATTGTCCATTTTCACGAAACGTCGAAACGATACTTTGTCATCACATTTCGGTCCGTGGCACTCGAAGAAAAGAGTATCTCGTTCAAGAGCAATTGAAACAGGAAGCCAGATTGCTCAGAAGAAAAAACCATTGACTGTTTTGGATTAAGCCACTATAAGTACTGTTTCAAAGGCGACCAAATTGACATCGCTAGCTTATTATTACTGGTCAAGTTATTTGCTGAAGTGATTGAGATCAAAAATAAATTGGTCCTCAAGTGTCATCATTACAAGTGGTAAGTATGAGTAATTATGTACATAAATATAGGGTTTTTATCACGATATGGCGGAAACAAATAGTTTCGAAAACGTAAGTGATCAATGGCAAAAATTAGACGTGCGTGATAAAACGCGCGCGTTTGGCGCGTGTCGACCCAAAGCTGAACGCGTCGTGCAAAAGTAACTGAAGACTAGATTTTTGGGATCATTGAGAAAAGACGTGACGTTATATATGATCGGATTAGAAACAAACATAGGCTACATTCAGCTGTGTATTGATGTTTTACAGTTTCAAAATCAATGAGGCTGTTGATTTATGCGCATTTCTACAGTTCAACAGAATGCTAGATGACGGTCACCCGCCGTCTGACACTGCCCATCTCGCCCCATTTGTTTGAGAAAATGGCAGATAAACGCTAGGTTTCGCGCTAAGGATATGCCCAAACGCGCGGACGGGCTTTAAGATACAGACAATAGTTGAGAAAGAGTATTTCGGAACGGAAAATCGCAAATCAATGCGGCTCTTTCCTTGTAATTGTTCAAGAGCCCCTGCGTTAGGTATTCATAATACGTTTTATCGCATGACTTACAATTTTTTGATTGCTTTTAGAGAGCCATTGAAGTTCGTGGGCCACCCGTTGTTTCTATCGGACCGGCCATTCTTCGTTCGAACAGTCTCCAGCGTCGAGACAAATAGAACGCTATCAGTTAGGAGTTCTGCTTGCTTTCGAAACCTGCTCGCAATTCTGCTTGTAACCGTGAACGCTTGAAGCGAGAAAAAGTGTGAACTTCGAAGAAGATCGATAAAGGAGGTGATTAGCGACAGGCAAAAACCATGCGTGGCGTGCTAATCTGATTTGGAACTGGTAATTTGGGGAGGAACCAAACAACAGCCGCCAGCGAAGCATTCAGCCTAAGTTTAGAGAAGAAAGATTCGGAGTTGTTGAAGAAAGCTCGAAAATGAATGGTACCAACGCGACCATAACTAGCAACGCTATTATGACTACCACAATTGGTACAAACATCACAAATATAACGAGCACTGTGACTCCGCTTATAACAACCACTGTCAATAACATCGCAAATAATATGAGCAATATCACCACAAACGGAACAACAGCGCTCTTACCAGGCCCACCAACTTTCCCAATCTGGTTGAAAATCGGTTTGGTGATCGTTGCGGTGCTGACGATTTTCGGGAACGGGATTGTCGTGTATTTTATCATCACACGACACCGGTTGCATACCAAAACCAATTTCATGGTCATTTCGTTAGCAATCTCGGACCTTTTGGTCGGAATGTGCATAATTCCTTCATTCTTGGCGTGTATGTACGTGGAATGTGATAATCTATTAGCCAAACTGTTCTACGACGCGTTCCTATTTGTATCCGTGTGTAATCTATGTTGCATAACATTCGATAGGTTCCTAGCGGTTACGCGACCACTAAGGTACCACATGAAAATCACACGAAAGGCTGTTTTGAGTATGATTATTGTAAGCTGGATTGTGCCAAGTATCGTGTCCTTGGTGCCAGTGACTTGGCTGTATACTGATACAAACCCCGAGGACCAAAAAACGGACAACAAGATTTTCTACACTCTTCAAGTGGTGGTCTTCATGTTTTGCCCTTGCCTCATAATGTTGATTGCGTACGCAGTCATCTATAACATTGCTTGGAAACAGACGCGGCACATCAGACATGTTATACGAAGCGTCAGTAGTGTTAGCAGTGGGCCAAGATCTAATTCGATACCAACGTCTTCAACAAGGGAAGCGAAAGCGACCTTGAAAGTGTTCGGTGAGTTTTACTTTTGCATTTCTGTACGTTAAGGCCTTTGTTGTATTTTTAGCAATTTTGTAAGCGTTGTTCGTGTACTACGATGGCTACAAATAGTATTAGTTTCGGAGGGAAAAGTGGAAAACAACTACAGGCTACCGTTTAAACAGCTATCAAAGTTTCTGTGATCACAGACGCTGTGTTTAACTGTTTAACAGTTCCATCAAACATTTCTTACAAATCCTTCAAAGCGTAGAAATATTTCCTACTACTGTGATCACATAAACCTTGCCAGTGTAAGCCAGGCGCCGGCTCGAGAATATGCTTTGCAAAGATTCACTGTTGTGTCATCCAAAATCATTGTGTTTCTATGCAAATGAAAGGTTATCGGTTTTCAAATCCTGATGGAAATCCTAGTCTAAATATATTATTCCATTGCTGTTCAATGCACGCTAACCCTGGGTAAAAGTTGACCTGCTGTTTTGGGTTTGAGCACTTCTGCCCGTCGGTTTGTTTTAAAATTTGGAAATGGAACTTTTATTTATCCATGGAGTTTTTGATGAAGAGCTTTGGGTTGAAAGTAGGACCTTGTTGTGTGTGTACACTTATAGCTAACTGGTATAAACATAGATTGTTGTCGTCATTGTTGTTAATTATGTTGTCGTTGTCGTTGTCGCTGTCGTTGTCGCTGTTGCTGTTGTTGTTGCTGTTGTTGCTGTTGTTGTTGCTGTTGTTGCTGTTGTTGCTGCTGTTGTTGCTGCTGTTGTTGATGCTTCTATTGCTGCTGTTGTTGTTGATGTTTCTATTTCTGCTGTTGTTGATGCTTTTGTTGTTGTCGTTGTCGTTGTTGTTGTTGTTGTAGCTGATAAATGAAAAATTATAAATTCCTGGAAAAATTTCCTTCAAGTTCGATGCCAGACTCAAATATTGGATTGCTAACAGTCACTTATTGAATAGTTAATTATGCATTATTAAAATGTCTGATTTTCAAATTAAGAACATATTTTTAACGCTTAAGGCTGATATTTCTGTGATTATAATAGGAATTTTGCATAGATAAATTCTAAGTTTTGAAGAATTTGTAAGGACTCTTTGAGGAAACTGATTTAGTGTTACACACTGAGTCAGTTTCTTCAAACATTTCTTTATAATACAAATCCCCTCAAAACTTTGTACAACATTCCCGGTGTGGTCACAGAAACTTTGACAGTGTAAGCCAGGTTTAACTTACACAAGGTTTTCTGTGCTATTTCTGTCATCTGGCATTCTTCACTAACTATGGATCGAATTACAAAAAGAGATCGAACACGTACAGCGAAGAGCACTGAGAATAATAATTCCATATATGTCTTACGAAGATGCTTTAAGTCATCTTCATCTTGAATCGCTGAGAGATAGAAGAGAATTAGTCACTAAATCGTTCTATCGCTCCGCATGTCTTAAAGCAGGACAACAAACTGAATGACTTGATTCCTACTGTTGTAAATTATACTTACTCTCTTAGGAACCCAAGCTAGAAATATCCCAATGTTTAAAAGTCGAACAAACAGGTTTAAGAACAGTACTATACCATATAGTGTTCAAAAGTGGGACACTGTGCCATAGTTTTTTACTAATATGTCTTAGTTAAATAGTTCTTAAATCTCTAAATTATCTCATGACTGTCTTTAATTAGTTATTATTGTAATTATTTTAACTTGAGTATTTCAAAATTTGTACTAATTTTGCAATTCAGGTTTTTTACAAATAAATTCAAAATTCAAAATTCATTTTTGATGGTGCTTTTAATTTTTCTAGGTACGGTTGTGGTTATGTTTGTTGCATGCTGGAGCATCTCGGCGTTCAGAACTATTGTAAATCAGTACGAACTGATGGAAATACCGTGGGATGTGACAAATGCCTCGAGATTGTTGTTGGTAGCCAACAGTGCTGTCAATCCAATCATTTACGCTTTATGGAAGAAAGATATCAAAAATGAGATTAAGAAACTACTTAAACTCAATTCACAGTTGGTGCGACCCTCGTCTGCCACATTCAGGTCGAGCCAAGCGGAAATGAGTAGATACGCTTCGCAATCCTCCATCGACGGAGATTCTAATGGCGCAGACCGAAGGCGAAGCCGAACAAACTCGACTCAAGAACCGATTCCGATGCAGAAAACGGAGAAGAAAGTTGAGAAATCGAAAGACAAACCACTAAATAATGGCACTGTTATTGACAGTCTAACAAGCATTGAAAATGTCGAGATCAAAACAGTCGAAGACAAAGGGACTTCTACAAGACCCGGACAAGCCGTCAGCCTTGGAATTGACAATTTGGTCGCTCAGACTGACGGCTTGGTGTAAAACAAAGCTAACTGAACTATTGCTCCGCTCATGCACGCTATAAACGGAATGAAGCAATGAAATTCTGAAGAATTCTACTCAGAAATTGAACGATTGTTACTGAGTGACACAAATGAACGAGGAGCAAAATTTGGCTTCCTAGAAGGTAACACAAAATGCTCCATGATTGAAACGGATGTGTGTCGTATGCTCTACAGATTTTCAGCCCCCAAAAAAACCCACACAAAGCACAAATATCAATAATCCATCACAACTGGGGGTCGAAAAGACAATGTGAAGCAAAAATAGAACACACATTTGAGCACAAACGCCAATAATTTAGGCAATAAATCATATAAAATCATATGGACCATAAAATTTGTTTGAAAAACATATCAAGTCTGACTATATAAGTAATGAGTTCAATGTTGCTTTGCGATTTCTGGACTATATTGACATGAGTCACAGACACTAAACAGTATTAAAACTGAGATAAGGAAGAAACTATATGGGGAATTCACTGATACTCACGTTGCATTGGCAGACTCTGGGAGATGTAGTATATGTCCATCACATCGAGTCATCCTTTTCAATGGCTCCTCCAAACCAGCAAGTTTTCAATGACAAGTTTTATTTGCTCGTCTGAAAAGGCAACTTTGCCAATTCTTGCTATGACAAGTACAATTGCTCAAGGGCTAGATATGCTAGATTTTGAACGAGTGTGCTTGTCATAGAAAAAATTGGCAAAGTACAAATATTGTTCGTCTGTATGGTCAACACAGAACATTTGGCAAAGTACTAATTTGAGCACTGGCATACTCGGTTGGTCAGCAATCTATTGCTGTAATCAGTTGATAATATCTATCGAGGCGATCAGAACCAGAAACGTGTCATAGAAAATTTGTTGTACGTACGACGGTGCAAATGACAAAGAAAACTTGCCATATGAAAATTTGTCATAGAAAACTTGCTCGTCTGTAATTGGCTTTATGAGACAAAAAAGCTTGAAAGTGAACCATTTGTGTACAATAGTAAAGTGGCTATATCCTCATGGCCTGTTCTGCCAAGTAGCGATGTTGTCAGTAAGCCTGAAAATTTGACTCCAAAGTGATCATCTCTTCCCATTTTTAAAATTTGTTAAAACAGTAATTTTTTTAAACTTTTGTATATAATTGATATGTACTTATAGGTTATATAATTTGACTAGAAATTTGAGTGAAAACAAATTCACATTAATTAAAGTGTTGATATTACTTTCCAAGATGACGTTTTTCTGTCCAAGTCTAGGATACGCACGTAAAAACACACAAGTTGTAACAAACCTGCAGCAGACTTGTAGCAATTCTGTTCCAACAACTTGTCAACAGGATGTGTTCGCACTGCTTGTTCCCAGCTTGTTGATAAGTTGTCAATGGCTTGTTAACAACTTGCTACAAGGTTGTTGAGCTCAACAGACTTGTCACAAGTTGTTCCAACAATTTGTTACCGTGCTGCAATTCAACAATTTGTCGACAAGTTGTGAGTGACAACCTTGTAGCAACTTGATGAAATGTCAACATTGCTACAACTTGTTGATAGGCTTGCTACAAGCCTGTTGCGAACACATCTTGTTGACAAGTTGTGAGATTTTTACTGGCCGCACGTAAAAACGCATAAGTTGTTACAAGTCTGCAAACAAGTTGTTACAAATCTGTTCACAAGCTGTCGACAAGTTGTGTTCGCACTCCTTAATTGTTCCCAGTTGTTGTAACAAGATTGGAACAAGCTGTTAACAACTTGTAACAAGCTTGATGACATTACCAGACTTGTTACAAGGTTGTTCTAACAAGTCCGATACAATCATGGTATAACAAGAATGTTACAAGGTTGACGACACAAGCTATATCATGACTGTATCGGACTTGTCGGAACAACCTGCTACAAGTCTGATAATATCAACAAGCTTGTTACAAATTGTTAACAGCTTGTTACAAACTTGTTGACAACTTGGGACAAGCCGTGCGAACACAACTTAATTGCTACAAGATGTGAGAATTTTCACAGATCATTTCACATGTAAAATTCTATGTGAAATTGGAACATTTCATTATAATAAGTGAATATTAATTTCCCACATGAAATTATTACTTCTGATGTGGAATTGGAACAACTCGATCACATGTAAGATAGCATTTTCACATGTGAAATCACGTGCAATTTCCGTAAGGGATATTCAATATCAGTGTGTCTGACACCACGGTCGATTCCTGGGATGTCTTGGCGATAGTTCAGATAAATCAAATTTAGACAATCGCTTCATACCATCCATACCAGAAATATTTTTGTTTCAATAGAACAATGGCGTCAATGCGCAGCGATTTTAATCCTCGCAAAAATGTTGCACGCGTGCCAAGTATGCCAAGGAGAAGGCAGATCACATGCATACTGTGTAGGAAAACTGAGAATCAAAAATCTGTATCGTAAAAAACTCACGATTTGTCAACAAGATGTGTTCGCAACAGGCTCGTAGCAAGCTTGTCAACAAGTTGTAACAATGCTGTTATTTTATCAAGTTGCTACAAGGTTGTCACTCACGGCAACTTGTTGACAAATTGTTGAATTGCAGGACGATAAGATGTTTTTGGAACAACTTGTAACAAGTCTGTTGAGTTCACTCGACAACCTTGTAGCAAGTTGTCAAAAAAAAAGAAAAAAAGTTGTCAACAAGTCGTGTTTGCTGTCAATCCGAACATGTAATAGAAACATAGGCAGCATGAACTAGAGTTGCCATACTATATCTGGTGCTTTTTATAGAACAAAATTCTTTGTATTTGTTCCGTTTGTAGAGTGGTTGAGGAAGGAGGCCAATATCAATATAATTTTATTATATAATCAAATCTCATGATCAATATATCACTGATGTGTGTTCGTAATCGCTGCATGTGCTCGACATGTGCTTGACATGCACACTATATAGAGGTTATATGTCATTCACATCACTTGAACGGAAGCGCATTTTTAAATGATGGATACTTATAACAATATATACGACAGAGGAACCTCGATACCATGAGATTCATCATCGTACATTTTCTCAAAAATGAAAAAATATCTTTCGAAAAATTCCGAAATCTTTCCACCGAAAATTTTGTAATCCTAAAATCTAAATCTATAAAATTACTAAAAATCCCACAAAATAACTGAAAATTACTCAAAATTGCTTTCAAAATATCTCCTCAAAATCCTAAATCTTGCCAAAAATATTGGCTTGAAAATCAGCTGGAAATCCGTGTCGCGAAATCTCAGAATCCTTGCGTATTTTTGCAGCCGGGATTTTGAAATCCCAAAAATTCTCGTCCGCTTTCAGAGTAATACACTCCTCGGAAAATACAAGGTTAAAGGCGCTTGAATTCGATGTCTTCACGGCCGGAAGGTCTTTCTTACTGACGAGGGAACTTTTCCCAAAACGTCGAAAAGTGGCTATTTTGTTAGGTATAGCAAATACTTGCCTTTTCTCGACCCCTGCTTGCATGCATGCAAGATATATCATATCACAAAAATAGCATGGCAATTTCCAGTGTCATTGTGGTTGCATTTAATACAAATGAAACAAGAAGAAAATATTAATTAACGGCTTTTCCAGACATGAAATATGTTGTTTTTCACGACTTTGTAAAATGTTGTTTGACAAGTGCGTGTTTTCAAATACAAGCATACCAAATATGGTCCGAAAATTTCAACCCTTTTCTGTGAAAAAGCTTGTCAAAAATGCTTACGAATGATAATATGTTGTTGATGGCAAAATAGCCATACATATATGTGTCTTTCAATTCTTTAAGCAGAGCTCATATACGCTGTTATCTGGTTTTAATTTCGCCTCACCCACATGTGGGAAAAAGCGCTTTCCTGCACTTTGACTGTAACAACCTGATCCCTGGTTTTCTGTTGTGATTTTCTAGTGCACGCGTAAAAATCAGCTCACAGCTTGTCAACAAGACGTGTTCGCCGTCTGGAACAAGTTGTTATCATCTTGTAACAAGGTTGATGAGGCCAAC